GTTTGTTTTTTTTTTTTGAGATGGAGTTTCACTCTTGTTGCCCAGGTTGGAGTGTAATGACCTGATCTCGGCTCACTGCAACTTCCACCTCCCAGGTTCAAGCAATTCCCCTGCCTCAGCCTCCCAAGTAGCTGGGATTACAGGTGCCCACCACCATGCCCAGCTAATTTTTTGTCTTTTTTGTAGAGACAGGCTTTCATCATGCTGGCTAGGCTGGTCTGAAACTCCTGACCTCGTGATCCACCTGCCTTGGCCTCCCAAAGTGCTAGGATTACAGGCGTGAGCCACTGTGCCCAGCCCACCTTTACATTTTTAATGGTTGAAAACAATAATGTGCCAGGCATGGTGGTTCATGCCTGTAATCCCAGCACTTTGGAAGGCTGAGGTGGGCGGATCACCTGAGATCGGGAGTTCGAGACCAGCCTGACCAATACGGAGAAACCCCGTCTCTACTAAAAATACAAAATTAGCCAAGTGTGGTGGTGCATGCCTGTAATCCCATCTACTCGGGAGGTTGAGGCAGGAGAATGGCTTGAACCTGGGAGGCAGAGGTTGCTGTGAGCCCAGATCGCACCACTGCACTCCAGCCTGGGGGCAACAAGAGCAAAACTCCATCTCAAAAAAAGAAAACAATAATGTTTTGTAACACGTGAAAATTATATGGAATTCACATTTCAGTATCCATACACAAGGTTTTATTTGAGCACAGTTATGCTCATTTGTTTATACATGGCTGCTTTTGCACTACAACTGCAAAGTTTAAGTAATTGTGACAGAGACCATATGGTCTGCAAAACCTAGCATATAGTCCTTAACAAAAAGCCAAACATGGTAGACTGTGCCTGTGGTCCTAGCTACTCAGGAGGCTGAGGCAGGAGGCACCTTTGAGCCCAGGAGTTCAAGACCACCTTGGAAAACATAGTGATATTCCATCTCTACAAGGAAAAAAAGTGCCTATCCCTGGGCTACAGTGACCTCGGCTTAAAGGAGAAAAAGCAAAAAGAAGGAAGAGATGGGGAGGAAGGGAAAAACAGAGAAAGTGGAGGGTTGTGGAGAGGAGACAAAACAAAACAAACTCTACATAAGGAAATTATCAAGGAAATATGCTTATCTCAACTTTAATACAGGATAGGAAAAAAATCTCCTCCAAGAATTCATAACCACAAGCTGAGCTGCACATGGGCTATGGGCTTGACTGTGGGTCAAAACACTTTAAACAGAAAATTTACTTTAAAGTGGTCCTGGGATGCTAGACCTCCAGCTTCCTGACAGAAGCACAAGCAAATCGTCGGAGGAAAAACTCCTTTGCCTAAGGCCTAAAAAGATTCCCACAGAAAAAGCTCCTCAGAACAAAGGCCTTTGGGGGGAAAGAAAAAAATATAAAAAGAAAAAGAAAAAAAAAGAGGAAAATTTCCAAAGAACATGAGCTCATCATTGTATCTGATCAAATATTGACTGTATAAAACAATAAAAAATCAAATTTGTGATGTTAAACTAGTTAGAACTGAACACACTGATCAAAACAGCACATAAATCAGGGAGGAGTGAATCACGTAAAATGTTCTTCTTTTTTGAGACAGAGTCTCACTCTGTCGTTCAGGCTGGAGTGCAGTGATGTGCAGCTCACCACAGCCTCAAACTCTTGGGCTTAAGTGATCCTCCCATTTCAGCCTCCCAAGTAGCTGGGACTACAGTGTGTACCACCATGTGCGGCTAATCTTTAAATTTTTTTTTGTAGAAAACGGGGTTTTGCCACATTGTCCAGGTTGGTCTCAAACTCCTGGGCTAGGTAAGATGTTCTAAGGCCCTTGTATCATTCAGGAAAAGGGTAAAACTACTGAACCTTGAGATTTTATTAAGTATATACTTTAAAATATTAAGGGTAACCACTAACAGAATTTTTAAAATAAAGTACATATCATCCAAAGTTGTAGAGAGGAAAAAGAGGTGAGAAAAGAATACAACTTAATCACCCAACTTAATCCTCGAAAAGAAGTTAAGAAAGGTGATTTCCCCTCCCTAAAAGATATAAAAAGGCATGAGAAATAACATAAGATGGCACAAATAAATCCAAATACACCTAAAATCACAATAAAAGCAAATGGGATAAATTACATAATCAAAAGACAAAACACAGTTCTGAACTGTACAAGAATGCATCCAAGATATTTCTCTGCCAGTTTAATAATCCTAAATCCCAGGGTCCACTCTCAACTCTCTGTACACACCAATACAACAACAATAATAATGGCTAACACAAATAGAGAGCCCACTATATGCCAGGAAGCATTCTTAATGCTTTTCATATATTAACTCCTTTAATAGCAGGAAGCTGGATTTGACACCTTGGTGACCAAATTTCACTTGTACAAGCAGCAATAACTGGACCAAGAGGCAGCAAGTGGAGCACTCACGAAAGGAAGGCCATCCCCTGCCGCATCGATCACTTACCCATTTCTCCCGAAGCCGGTTCACCTCTTCCTCATGGGCTGCCATCTGCTGCTCCAGGGCAGTCTTCCCCTCTTGCTCAGCCCAGGCCAGCTGTCTGGCTGCAGCATCCCGCTCCTGCTCTGCCCGGCTCCGTTCAGTGTCCAGTTCTAGCTTCAGGCACCTCACTTCCCCTAACATGCCAGAGACAGGATCAGGCCTCTGCCCCTGCTCCTTTTATCTAATAAAATTCTTCCTCTCCCCTGACCTCATGAGCAACTCCCATCTCAGAGGCCCTGCACCCTGCTGGAGAAAGACCTGTAATAGCCTCCCACTGTCTTCCTAGCTTTCAACATCTCCATGGAATGGAGCACACCCCATCCCAGTTGGGTTCTTACCTTGTATTACTTCCTTGGCTTGAGTGACAGTTTGAATCTGGACCTCCAGCTGCCCCTTGGTGACCTCTATCACAGAATTTTGTTGTTGGGCTTCAAACAGACTGCTCTCCAGTAGCTCTTTGGCTGAGCTGTGAGGTTCAGGAATCAGAAGAGGTTCTTACCCATCAAGGCCCTTACCCTTCAAGAGGGGTTCGGTTCTAAGTACTTACTTGCTACCTGGAGAAGTTAGGGGGGCAATTATAAATTCATAATCAATTTAGGACCTACATACTTACGGCAGGGAGCTTAGCTTCACTGCCTTTGCCTTGCAAAGCTCTCTCTGCGCTTGGCTGAACTGAGTCTAGGCCCTACCTGAGCCCCTGTAGTTGATCAGTGAGGTCCTGCCGGTCGCGCTCCACGGCCTGGAGCCGCACCTCTAGAGCTGCCTTCTCGCGTACTAGGGCCTCCTTCTCCTGGACTGCCCTGGCAAGCACTTCTTCCTGTCGTTTTGCCTCCTGATGCAGCTGCTCCAGCTGAGCCATGGCTGCCTCCTGCTGGTGACGTGACTGAGGGGAAAAATGTGGTGAGACGCAGAGCAGAGGCAGGATTCCCCCTGGGGCCACTACAGCCAGGTTAGGGCCACTGGCTCTTCAGAGACTCTGGACCTAGCTCTGTGGCCCAGAGCATTACTCACCCCATGTGGCATTTATCTATTTCCCTGATCAGCCCACAGAGCCCCCAGCCCAGGAAGAATGCTCTCTGGTGAGCAAGACCCTGTGCTAGGGACAGCAGGAGACCTGCCCCTCAGGAGATTTTAGTCCTGAGAAGATGCACACATAATGCCAGGAAGAAAGTGATCAGTATCCGGAGAAAGGGACTCTGAAGCGAGAGTCCATACAATTATTAGGACAATGGGAGGTTTTGTAGAGGAGAAAGATGATCTTTGAGCCAGGTCATTTATTGGATCAGGAAAAAAATTTACTCAGCCCCTGTTATACGGTAGGCAGTATGCTAAAAGCTGGAGGAATAAAAACAAATAAGATGTAGCTTTGCCTTCAAGGAGCTTTTGGTCTAAAAGTGGAAACATATAAAGAGATAATTATAGCATGAGGAATGTAGCGGCTGAAATAAGCATGAGGTGCTATCAGAGTATAAGGAGAAGCTTCTAATTCAAACTGGGTGGTGTGAAGTAGTGGGGAATCAGTGAAGAGCTTTTTTTTTTTTTTTTTTTTTTGAGACAGAATTTCATACTTGTTGCCCAGGCTGG